ATTGGTTAGGAACCATTGATTATACCCTACACAAACTGGACTGTAGATCCATCCTATTGCAATCCAATTTCTTATAGTATCTCTCCAACTTCAAGTTTTGGGAGCATATCAACGCTTAATTCTTAAATGAAAATCTATACAACAAGCATATCTTTGGCTGGAATTTATTCATTTTATCTTTAAGCTAAAGTCAAAAGTAATGGTGGGAAAAATTTACTATTTTCATTGAAACTTATAAACCCTTGCTTAACGTCAGTTTTATCCCATATATTTGATACATTGACATTTTAGTAGTCAGTAAATTAAGAAAAGCTAGAGATATTCACAAATAAATTCGTACAATCAACCAATTAAACTATTTGCGGCCCAATTACTTTAAGTTATGCTAAAATCAATTCAAGCGGACTTAACACTTTGTCATTTATTGCAATTGACTCTGATAAAAATCTCATCTCTGTATTTACAAATGATAAAGAAAATGCTGGTGTATACATTATTTAAATAACAGCCAAGCTATCAAACTACACCTAAATGTCTGTTAATATTACTATTAATTTGACTTTAAATTGTGCCTATGATGTACTTAGTGGTCCATAAAATTCCTCCTTGTCCTATTTGATTAGTGAGCCAGAGGCTTAATACGTATTTCAAAGAGCGTAGAGTTATTTTGGATGTAGTATAGATTTTCTTTGTCAAGATTAAAATACCACATCTTGTTCGAATTCTCTATATGATTTTAACTATGACTTAATGAAGCTTAAGATTCATTCTCTAGATATTAGACATGCTGCATATTACACCTTGAACATGATATTTACATAGATTTCTGGCATGACATATAAATATACAATTACGATTAATGCAATGAATACATGCTCTAACACTAAAATAATCTCAAGCAAACTATAAGATTAGGTTTATGATGTCAACTCAGATTAAAGATAAATTCTACAGATTTTAAATTGGAATCAAACATTAAGCAGTGAATGTTAAAATATCTAGTACACATTTAGATTTAAAGATAATAAAACTGATATTTTAGGTGATATCTTTTAATTTGACCCAATTGGCAATACTTTATCAATTCAAACCCCAGAAACTTTCAGCAATTAATCTATTTTCATAAGTGTCATAGGAAATGTTTATCAAGTAAATGTGACTTAAGAATTTTAACTGAACATCACTGATGATTGCAAGACAGCTTAATTCATAAAGCCTTAGTTTAAATCTTAATATTTATATGAACTAGCGACTTCATAAATTGATATAAAATTTGATCATTGGGATTATGGACTTGGGAGTTATTGTAAAATTCCTTACTATGAACTAAAATATTCAGATATTATTCCTATTGATAATGATGCAATCCAATTTGATCCAATTCAAAGAAAAATATCAATATACACCGTAAATGAAACTTAAGTTGGTCATTATAAATTGACCCTATCTGTGTATCTAAAGCCTTAATAAATAGTGAAGAATACCGATTATTTAGAGTTTGAAATAATAATTTCTCTTCCTTAGATAAAATACTTTGATA